GCAGCAGTGCAGTGAGTGTGTTGGTTTAGACCCTCCGTACTTGGGAGGCTTGAACTCCAGTTCCATCTGTCTGTGCTCTGCCTGTCCTAGTTTTTGAGCCCCAGCGGGAGAGAGGGAGTGGAAAGGCCCAGGTGCAGCACAGGAGTCCCCGTGTAGAACAGCAGTCCCCGTGCAGGACACTGGTCCCTTAGCAGGACTCCGGTGCAGGACACCGGTCCCTGTGGAGGACACCAGTCCCCATGTAGGACAGCAGCCGTGCACTCCGGGTGGTTATCACCTGTTCCTTGAATGCACACACAGACACACGGCCTCTGTCTCCTCCTCCTCAGGGGCCGCCCTCAAGGGTAGGTGGGTCAGTGCTCCAGTGTTGGGACCTTTCCTGAGCCCGGGCTGGGTTGGAGCACTAGAGGGGAACGCACTTCCCTATCAGGCAGGAATGTGAGGTGAACCGGGGACACTGCAGGGAAGGACCCGCTGTCATCCCCTCCCACACACCATGCTGGACAGCACTTAGGAAGTACCAGCATGCTAGGGAAAGGACGCTGTTGTCATTTATTTGTTGTTGAAAGTATGCACAGCAGTAGATTCACAAGTCGAGCATTTTCTAGAAGGGATTGGAAGGCTTTTCACGTAGACTTTTAGGCACTTGCATGTTGGTTTTCCATTTCATGAGCTCAGGACTTCAGTAAGTCCTTCATTAGTACTTGACAAGTACGAGTCCTGCTCACCTGAGAAATCGTGTAAGCGCTCAGCGGCCCGGCCACTGACCTGTCCTCTAACAGGTCGGGTGACAGTGGAACCCACCGCAGTGCTGCAGCGACCTGAGCTCAGCTTCCACCCGGTTCAGCGGGGGACGTGCGTCTGTGCTGGAGAAGATGGAGGGATACCAACCGGGTGGACACAGATGCGGTGCCTAGAGAGAAGAGTGGAACTGAGAACAAATACAGAGTTTAAACGTCGGGGTGAGCGTGGGGTGGTGGTCAGTGCGGCATCCCTCTGAGGGGCTTTCTGGGCCGTGAAAGTCGAGGTGGTGCTGCCTGGCATGTCTCAGACACCCAGCCCTGAGGATGGCAGGAGGACAATAAGGCGGTTCCCGCAGGTTCCGCTCGGCTGTCCTTGGATTGGACGCCTGTTGGATTGTTGCGTTTTCAGACCTGCTGGAAACGATCCAGTGTGTGTGCTGGCTGGGGCGGCACTTCCTTCCTGGAGCAGCTTTTGCTCCGAGTTTGTTGGTGGTTGCTGTTGTGTTGAGTGCGTGAGGAGCCCCGGGTGGTGCAGAACAGTTTGCTGAAGGGGTCACGTCCACCGAGAGGATGTGGAAGAAAGGCCTGGTGATCTGCTCTGACAAAGCAGCCAGCAGAAACCTGCCCGAGCACAGTGCTGTGACACACGTGAGGTCTGCACTCCTCAGCTCTGTGGAGTGGCTTCCAGACCCAGCCCACACCCCACTGTGACACAGTAAACCCAAACTGTGAAGGAGACGGAGAACCCCACACCTGGGCTGTGTGCCAGCAGGCTGCCTGTGACAAAGCTGGGGTCCCTTCACCATCTCCCTACTGTGTCAGCCCCAGAGATGCCCGCCTGCTGGTTCTCGGAACCTGCGGACATGTTTCCTTACCTGGCAGAGGGGAAATAAGGTGGTATAAGCAGACCTTGAGATTAGGGGGCTTGACATACATCAGCCAGTGAGGCTCAGTGTCACCACAAGGTAGAAGAGGGGACAGGACGGTCATCACCAGGTACAAGGGGGGACGGGAGGGCCATCACGAGGTTCAGAGGGGGACGGGAGGACTATCACGAGGTTCAGAGGGGCACGGGAGAGTCTGAGATCAGAAAGCCCCCAGCTGCGCCATGCTGGCTTTGAAGGTGGCGGAAGGGCCGCGTGCCGAGCGGAGCAGGAGAGGGTCCCCCCTGGATTGATGAAGGCAGGTCAGCAGCCAGCGGGTGCCGGCTCCCCCCTGACAGGACTGTAAACTGTGGGATTGTGGATTGTGAAGCCCGCAGACCTGGGATCCTCTATTCCAGTGACTGAGGACCGGAGACAGTTTCCTGAAGGTTCCAGAGAGGGTCAGGAGAAAGCAGGGAGTGCCCGCTGTGCGGGGAGGAGGGAGGCGGCCCTGCCAGTCACTGTCCCAAGGGGCACACGCTTGAGTGCGCTGAGCAGCCTCCCCGCCTGGGTCCCCGACCTTCAAGCCTGCTGCCGCCATGCCCACCAGGTCTGGAGTGGGGTTTCCACGTTATCAGAAAGCGCACCCTATAACCCATACCCATCACCACTGAGTGGATTCCTACCTGGCCACCCTGTAGGACAGAACAGGGCTGCCGGAAGCAGACGGCCTCGTCTTGGTCCTGTGAAGCCTGTAGTGGGTTTGAACCATTGGCCTGTTGGTTAGGAGTTGAATGTTTGGTCAGGGTGTTGCCTCCTGAGTGAACTGTGCCCTCCCTGCCCTGGGCGAGGCGGAGAGGTGGGGAGACCAGGTGTGGCGGCCCTGAGGTGTGGCGTGCCACAGGCCTGGCTCCTGCGGGTGCCGCGTGGCAACTGCAAGGTGAGGGTTGCACTGTCTTCAGGGAGGAAGTGGCATTGGCAGTGAGCTGCGCGGGGACCTGCCCTGCTGTCTGGATGTGGCTCTGAAGCCCCTCATGGGAGGCAGGGCGGGTGTCTGCTCCTGGTAGAGCCCAGGGGAGGTGTCTGCCCGCCGGCCTGTGCTGGGCCAGGTGCCTGCACAAGCCCCCCTTTTGTCCGCACACCTCTTCCTGCTCGGCCCCCACATCCTGGAAGGGCGGAGCTCCCCTTGGACTTGTTTGTCAGCCTCCAGTGCAGCGCTGGCGCCCGGGCTGCTCGGGGTTGGGGACCCTCTGCTCTGGGCTGAGGCCTTGCTCCTTCTCGTCCAGAGCCCTTCTGTAGCGGCCACCTGCAGAGTTGTGGCTGTCCATGGAGGTAGGTGTGCCCTCGCCCACGGCTGGGCTCAGACTTCCCCCAGGAACAGAGCAGGAAGAGACACGTCTGCTCTCTTAGAGTCGGGGTGCGGGCTGTAGAGTGAGCAGACTGGGGTGCGGGCACACCCGCTGCCTGCTGGGTAGGGGAACCAGAAATGCGTGCAGGTCAGCATCCCGCCCAACCAGGAAGGGAGAGAGGCCTCTCCAGGATGCTGCGTCCGGGAGAGGAGGCCGCGGTGTGCAGCCCGAGGTTTGTGAACCCGGAGGGGAACCTGCGTAAGGTCCCCACAGGTGACTGACCCTGCACCTGTTTCCTGTTCACAGTAAATCTCCCGTGGTGCTGCACGTGGTGGGACTGGCATACTCCGTGTTTGTCATAGTAACGTGAACATCTGGCAGCTTCCGTGGTAGAACTCCCACCTCCCACACTGGAGACCTAGGTTCGATTTCAGACCTGTGTCCCTCCTGCACACACACCGTCATCTGTCGGGGCTCTTGTGTTGCAAGGACGCTGAACAGGCTTTGGCAGAGCTTGCAGACTAGGAAGAAAGGCCTGGCGATTGTGTGAAAGTCAGCCAGGGAACCGATCCACGTGGATGGGGGAACAGCGTCGTGTCGTGTTGTGCGTGGTTCCCCAGGGTCAGGAGCTGACTTGATGGCCGCAGACGTGAGTTCAGAGGGATGTGCGGAGAGCTCTGGGGGCCTAGTGACAAGAAGCTGTACTGTCACCCCAAAAGCACGCTCCGAGGGAAAAGGATGGGCAGACTCCTCCCGTGCCATTAACTGCCTCTGAAAACCCACCTAACGGTCAGCTGTGGGTCGGTTCTGACCCTGTGCTACAGAGGGATGAATGGTGACCGCGCCTCAGCCAGGCTCCGGCCTCAGGGCCGATGGTCGCTTCATCTCCCGCCCCCAGCGCTGTATTTGCGTTGTCATTCACAGATGGAAAGTTTACTGTCTCTTCTTTTATAAAATAAGGATGGCTTCTGTCCCTGTGCACTGAGCCAAGGCCACTGGACACTGTTTAGGTAGTCTGCAGTCCCATTCCTGCGGTCAACCAGCACTCCTCAACCCTCAAGTCCATTACCGGTGACACATGCCACATGCTGGCTGGCCATCCTTCATCCCCAGTGGAGGCTTACGTGTGTCTGGGACGCTGAACAGGTGTTTGTGGAGCTTCTAGGCGTAAGACAGACTAAGGAGAAAGACCTGCTTTAAAAACCAGCTGATGAGAACCCGGGGGTGAGTCACAGCCAATGGGCGGCACGGCGCCGGGCCGGACGATGTTCTGGTCTGCCGTGACCAGGCGGTCAGCATTGACACTGACCAGGCTGTGGTGGCTACAGCAACCACAGTGCCTCCCGGATGACGCGCGTGAGCAGGGCTGCGCTGACCCCCAGGGCCGGCCAGGGCAGCACACCCAGATGAGGAAGCCATGCAGGGAGAAGATAAGCTCTCAGTGTTCCTGGTGCCCGTGGACCACGGGGCCCACAGGCCTGGACTCCAGGTGCAGGCCAGAGTGAGACTGGCACTCTGTCTTCACATTAAGGTCCAAGCACCACAGGAGAGAGAGGGGGTGAGGGGTCCTGCTGTGGGGAGTCCCAATGCCAACAGGGAAGGACAGGGCCCAGCAAGGGAGCCAGCGCAGCTGGACAGACAGCCTGTGCTTAATGCCCAGCCACGTGCTACAGGTGATGGAGGGGACACAGGAGGGGGCCCTCACCAGGAGGACACGGGGTGCACCTACTCTTCTGGGTGCCATCTGAGGTGGAGAGGTGAGCAGCCTGACGATGTGTGACACTGGACTCACAGGTGAGGGCCAGGCAGTGGCTCCCAGCAAGGTGACCTTGGGGTAACTCAGATCTGCGGTGCTGTGACCTGGTCCCTGCAGCCCCACTGTCCTGCCCCCCGTGAGCCTGCACACAGCGCCCACACCTGGCGTTCGTCTTGCCTGCTGGTAGCCCCTGTGCCCACGCCCGTGTCTGAGGCACTGGACTTCAGTGAGTTAGGAGGCAGCCGCTGACCTCTCCTCTCCCTCCAGGTCCCGCCTGCCACCCACACTGATGCCCGTGCCGCCCTCTGACCACCTGGAATGGAATGATTCTATGCACGCCCTGCGGATAAGTGTTGGGGGGCTGCCCGTGCTGGCGTCCATGACCAAGGCTGCGGACCCCCGCTTCCGACCTCGCTGGAAGGTCATTGTGGTCTTCTTCCTGGGGGCCGCTCTGCTCTGGCTGGTCTATGCCCACCACTCACCTGCCCACCGCACGCCCTCTGCCCGGCCACCCGCACCCAACGCTCACAACAGGAGGGTGGACCCGGGAGCCACCAGCCGCTACAATGACACCTACCCACTGTCCCCACCCCAGAAGACCCCTGGGGGGACCCGCTTCCGCCTCGCTGTCATTGCCGACCTGGACACCGAGTCCCGGGCCCAGAAGGAACACACCTGGTTCAGTTACCTGAAAAAGGGCTACCTGACCCTGTCGGATAGCGGGGACCGGGTCACTGTGGAGTGGGACCCTGACCACCAGGTCCTGGAGTCCCACCTGGCAGAGAACGGGCGGGGCATGGAGCTGTCAGAGTTGATTGTCTTCAACGGGAAGCTGTACTCCGTGGACGACCGCACAGGCGTGGTCTACCACATCGATGGCGCCAGGGTCGTGCCCTGGGTCATCCTGGCTGATGGGGACGGCACCGTGGGCAAAGGTGAGACCTTCAACCCCAGGGGTGGCCTGCCCGTTATGTGAATGCAGTCCAGGGGGCTCCCGGAAAGCAGAGCAGCAGCTTTCGGCTGTGAGTGCTCCCAGAGGTTCAGAATCCCTGCCTGGAGGAGGTTCTGGGCTGGGCCGGGCTCCCTTCATGTCCTGGGGAGCTGTCCCTCCTCTGGTCTCCCTGGAGCTGCATCCACCAAGCAGCCCATCTTTAAACCTGGCCAGCAGTGGGTCTCGCTTTTCCCTGAGACCTGACTGCGTTCATTAGACAGTGAGCTCCCCTAAGAAGCCTGCAGCAGAGGCTGACCAGTGCCTGCTGGGCGGGAATCCCACCGTGAGGCCAGAGTTGCCAGGGAGGAGTGGGCACAGAGACATTGGCGGGGCCCAGAGTGGCCGGTGCCTGCAGCTCGGGGGCAGGAGATGCTGGAGCCTTGGGGAACTCGTGGACCCTCCTGCAGGCCCGGAGGTCAGAGGAGGAAATGCCTTGGCTCTCAGTGTGTGCCCAGGGCCCGGCGTGGCCAGGACAGTGTGCTCAGTCCAGGCTTAAAGGCCTGTGCAGTCCTGTCCTCCCTCAGAGAGAAGGTGGACTCAGGGGCTTTGGGGGTCACCAGAAGAGGCAGGAGACCAGGGATGGTGGGGAGCCTCACCTGGAAGTGACCCCCACTTCAGAGGTGGTGAGCTGCCAGCTCTAGCTCTCCAGAGCGTCCCTGGAAAGGAGGATGGAGCCTCTTCTGGGGCAGGACAAGGTAGAGAGGGCTGGGTGCCCACCAGCCAGGCCCCCGGCTGCCCTGTGAGCTGTGGAGGGAGGTGGGTTCCCACCAGCCGGGCCCCCGGCTGCCCTGTGAGCTGTGGAGGGAGGTGGGTTCCCACCAGCCGGGCTTCCGGCTGCCCTGTGAGCTGTGGAGGGGGAGTTCCCACCAGCCGGGCCCCCGGCTGCCCTGTGAGCTGTGGAGGGAGGTGGGTGCCCACCAGCCGGGCCCCCGGCTGCCCTGTGAGCTGTGGAGGGAG